GACCATGGAATGAAGGAAGTAGATGAATGAGACCCGATTTGAGCTCAAATGTAACACCTTCATCAAGAGTGAGGAGGGTGATACATAGATGTTGATTTAGATTAGGATCCGTGAGCTCTCTCAAAGTCCTTGTTTCTAGAGCCATATGAAAGGGCTCTTCAGATTCGCTAGAGTGAGAACTAGCGTTGGATGAATCTCTGACAGATGATTCCTCCGAGTGATTCATCCAACACTAGCTCTCACTCTAGCGAATCTCAAGTCGCCTTTAATATTTGTTACATTCTCATTTGTTAGATATTAATATTAATCATACTAAAGTTGTTATATTAAACGATTAAAGTAGTTTCATTTTTAGTTAATTTTACTATATATACTTGTCACATTATCATATTAGTTAACCATATTTGTTACATACTAATATTAATCATATAAAAATTGTTAGATTAAAATATTAAAGTAGTTGCATTTTTTAGTTAATTTTACTATACTTATCACATTATCATAGTAGTTAACCATATTTGCTACATACTAATATTAATCATTTAAACATTGTTAGATTAAAATAATAAAGTACTTGCATTTTTAGTTAATTTTACTATACTTGTCACATTATCATATTAGTTAACCATATTTGTTACATACTAATAATAATCATATAAAAACTGTTAAATTAAAATAGGGAAAATGACACTTTTAGTCCGCAAAATAGTCACCATATTAAAATACAGACCCGTGTTCCCCAGTTTGTAAATATCACCCCCAATTGTCCAAATTGCTCTAAATGTGGTCCTTTGAGGCTGAAATGTTCAATGTAGGCGAGTTGTACATTTCACCTCTCAAAGGACAACATTTACAGCAATTTGGACAATTGAGGGGTGACATTTATATTCGCAAAAATATGGGTCTGACATTTCAATATGGTGACTATTTCAGGGACTAAAAGTGTGATTAAAATATTAAAGTAATTGCATTTTAGTTAATTTTAATACACTTGTTAGATTAAACTATTAAAGTAGCTGTACCTTATTTGTACTCACAATTAAATATTTTATAGACTTGTAAACTAGTCACATTTTAATATAAAAGTCACATTTCTATTAAATTATCATATTACTTACATTTTAATATAAAATTCACATTTTATTTGTACTCACAAATAAGTATTTGTTACAAATTACTTATATTTTAGTTACATTAAACTCACATTTTCTTACGTAAAGTGATATTTTAGTTACATTTTTATATTAATTGCATTGTATTTGTACTCACATTAACATAATTGTTAGAAATTTATATTTGGTACTCCCTCCGTTCCTAAATAAACTTCCAACTTTCCTTTTTCGTCCGTTCCGATTAAAACTTCCACTTTCCCTTTTTGGTAAAGAATTTGTGGTTCACAACATTTCTTACACATTTCTCTCTCCTCTGCACATCTCTCCACCACACAATATCCACTATCTTAAACTTTGTGCCAAACCCATTAGGAAGTTAAAATGGGAACGGAGGTAGTACATTTTAAGATGGAACGAGGTAGACATTCTGCAGATATGGGTAACCCTTAACGCAACCGAAAGAAGGAGATTGCGAAGAACCATCCTAATTCGTGAGGCAAAGGTAAAGGACATGTTGGATCTTCTTCTCAAAGCCGAGATGATTTTGAAACGACTTACGATCGGAGAGATGCAATGTCCGACGCGCAATTACAACAACTATTGGCCTAACGAGATGCGCGGTTTTACCAACAACAACAACTTCCCGAGATTGACGAAGAGCTCGAGGATGATGATGCCGAAGAGGAGGAGCCGGCCACAGCCGAAGAGGAACAAGGCGACGAGGAAACCCCCGACGAGGAAACACCGGACGAGGACGAGCCTGCTTCATCCCAACCCGGTAAGAAAGGTGAATATCTTCTTATGAAAAATAATTACACAAAATGGAAGGAAACAAGTATCGAGAAATGGTGGGCAACTTGCGACCATTGTTTCAAAAATATAAGCTTGGGGATTTCGCAAGGATACGGCGGCACTCATAGGCATTTGAAGGCAAAACATCCCGTGGAGTGTGCAAAATTAAAAGGCAAGGGGACACAAACACAAATATCGAGCTTTGCAACTGGCTCATAGACATTTAACTGCTATGTCTGAACTAATTGTTGAAGAAAATTTGCCTTTTATTTTTACTGAAAGTCTTAGCTTGCTTTAAAAGCTTATGCTCGAGGTTCTTTAAATCCTCAATTTCGAAACTATAGTCGCAAAACGATTAAAAAAGAAATTATAAGGCAATATGTTTTGAAAAAGGATAGATTAAAAATGTGTTTCCTCAACATTGATGGACGTGTTAGTATTTGTAGTAATATATGGGAGGATACTTATCATCATTTGTATTATTTGGGTGTGACTGCACATTATATTGATGCTAATTAGGATATGCATAAACGTGTTATCGCTTTTCGATAATTTAATGACCGACACATCAGTGATAATATTTATATTCTCATCGAGCGTATTTTAACTGGATATAATTTGATTGATAAAGTTTTTGCTATGGGTTTTGATAATGCTAGTAATAACACCGTTGTTACACCTAGATTGTGTGAATTGTGTTGTCCTTCTACATTTGATGGCTAGATTTCACCAGCGTTGTGCATGTCTTATTCTCAATTTATGCGTAAAAGATGGTTTAACCGCACTAGGTGATGTTATGGAGAACGTGAGGGGGGGGGGGGGGGGGGGGAGGGGGTATTAGACTGATTTGGGGTTAATAATCAATTGAAAAAACAATGATGTCAATATTTGAGGGTTAGACGTGTGAACTATTGTGATATTTCAAAAGATTTGGCTATTCGCTGGAATAATACTTATATAACTTAATTGTTGTACTTCTTGCAAAAAAAAACTTAATTGTTGTACTTCTTATATATAAAGTCCATTTTCCTGCTTTTTTAAAAGAATATGCTATCTATAATATAAATCCGACTGAGATTGACATTATGGATTTTTTTTCAAAGTTTTAGTTTTTTTAATAACGCAACTCTAACTTTTAGTCATGTTTATAAACCTATGGCAAACCAAAATGAGTTAATTTCGCCGGTGCTTTTTTGTGAATCTCAATAAGCCAATTACGTTCATTTTTTTGAAAGGAAGACGACTATATTGATATCATTAGAATCAGGATCGTTACAACAATCTCAAAATGACCAGAACTGACAACAACTTTCACCTTCCAACTACTATTTTTAGCCCTACGATTAGACATAGAGACGACCACCCCTAAAGGAGAAATACGAATCGCTAACGCCCAAACGGGCTTAATGCAGTTGTTGCTGAAAAAATAAATCCATCCCCCACTAACAATATCAACTCTAGTCGAACCCTCGATCAATGTAAAAAACCTATTAGCCTAAGCAAATACCAAAAGCAAAACGATAGCAACGAATTTCTTCGAAGACAGACTAAAAATGGAGACCGAATTTAAGCATGATGAACTTATTGACCGTTGAACCCAATCTTCCAGCGCGGTGTTCCGACCCCTAATCACCCATTTCCAGCATGGCGGCAGTTACGTTCATTGTTTTTGTGATTACATGAAAGAAATGTTTTTAAAATATTATACATATATTCCGTCTATATATGATATGACCTTTGTTCTTGATCCTCATTTCGAACTACATGCTTATCAAAATTGTATAGAATACTATTATACTATTTTTTCGGTCCATTACTTATATATGAAGAGAGGATCATAGACTCTAAAGAGCAATACAACGAGGTTAGTAACTTATTTCATCAATTATTTAATGAGTTTCATGCACAATATACTAACACAATTCTCCTTCTAAACCAACAATTTCTTCATCAAAAGAAAAATTACTTTTCAAATATACATTTGACAATCTTATGAAAAAAGAAATCAACTCCCGCTATTGTACAAAGCTCGATTAACGAACTTTCTTTATATCTAATGTTTCCTGTTGAGTATGAAGAAGAGGATGACTTTGACGTTTTAAAGTGGTGGAAGGACAAAGAAGGAATGAAGTAATGTTCCTGATTTTATCGAAGATGGCGAAGCAAGTGCTATCAATGCCGGTGTTAACCATAACCGTGGAACAAGAATTTAGCGAATCCGGCAACACCGCAACACCCTAACGAATTATAGAATGAGATTGAACGCACAATTTAATCTATTGTGACGCTTATTTGCTTTCACGATTGGTTGAAGGCACGACGTAGAGCTCAAGAAGTTTACATCACCCCGACCACCACTTCATGGAAGAAACAACAACTGAAGCTGACGAAGATTCTGACTAAATTTTACCAAATGTATTTAATGTTTTAAATTATTTTCAATTATCAATTGTACTTTATATTTCAATAAATATACATTGAAATTTTTTGTAGCAGTTGTGAATTAGTTAACACAAAAAAAAAAAAAAAAAAACTTGACCCGACCCAAGTCCGGACCAAAGTCCGATCAGTAGCCCAACCTGACCCGGTACCCGGTTTCTACCCGAGACAATACCGGGCCTAATATTTTTGGGCCCAGAGCCCACCCAATCCCGGTCCAGAGCTCGGACCTGGCCCAGTCCATCCCTAATATTAGTAGAGGGAAAGGTTCAAATAAACTCTTGTTATTTTGAATAAGCGATGATCATACTACTTCCGTCCCTTAAAACTTTGTCAACTTTCTTTTTTTGGATGTTCAACTAACTTTAACATTTTCCCTCTCCTCTGCACAAATCTCAACCACACAGTTTTTATTTTATTAATCTCCGTGCCGGTCAAACTTGGCAAAGTTTTAAGGGACGGAGGGAGCATAATTTTACCGATTCTAATATGATTTGATATTGTTCATTTCTTTACATTTTTATTTTATTGACATTAAAATAGTTATGAATAAATTATAATATATCTTTCATATATCAAATTAAAAATACAGATCTCTGGTATGGTCGGATTTGTATGTATTTTATTTTGAGATTGAAATAGATCAAACAGAACATAACCAATTCAAAGTGAGAAATTAAATAAATATTTGCTTTTCAATAACCATTGAATAATATGTAAAAAGTTTACATAATGACATACTATTAAAAATTCACATAAGATCAAACAAGTTCGACCTGAAGTTACAATCTAACCAAACAGAGAGAGAGGGTAACCAACAAAATGAGTCTTCACTGAAACGTTAGAAGAAAAAGTAAAACATTATAGGTATCATATAGATGCATATATTAAACATACCAAGAGGTTGTAGATACACCATTTACACATGGATGATCAATTAAACATCTGTTTGCAAAAGGTTATAATGAACTTAAATGTCGGAAGAGTAACAGAATAACAAACACTTCAGAGTTAAAACTCGTAGTATGTATGATATCATTGTTTTGCTATTACATTGAACTCCTACCTGAAAGAACTTGGCATTGAGACAACCAAAGGTCCATGTGCTCTATCATCTCTTTTCTTACTTTAAGCACTGCATCACGGGAGCTGCAGTTCTTGGCATCACCTGGGGTGGTGACATTTCCGGAATATATTTTAACAAAACTATTATCTTGCATGGGAATATGGTGACATTATTCACGGCATACCTTCAGGGACTAAAGGAGACTGGGGGCAACCACGCATATCAGTTCCATGGCCACAGTTATGACACGTGATTATGTAAGAAGGCACTGCATATGAAAATGAGGGCTTCAGTAAATAAATCGATAAAACTTCCAACTAAAGTACAATAACAAGGTGTCCTAACTCCTAAGGGGCTGTTTAGATGAAAGGGTTTCAAGGAAAAAGCTTAATCTTGATATTGATATGAGATTTTATGAAAATTGAAAGGATGCTTGACCATTTTTAGAATCATTCTATTTATTAAGATATGTACAATCCCCTAACATCTATATCCATCAGCGATGCGTCACCGATTACTCACTGTCAGGAGATGAAGTCTGTTTAGATGCATGTCGCCATGGATCTTGTGATCCATTTGTGAAAACTATCTTTGAACCTGCCAAACATAATTTTACAGCCTAGTATAAGAATCAGCTTATATAAGTATCAAACATCTAATAAAAAAAACTAAAAAAGTGAAGTACCAGCAATTTTTGTGCCACCATAGTACAAATTGGTTCCATCAACATCAGGATAGATACCTTTCCCAAAGACATTCTCGCACAGGTTCAGATGGTAGCTGCAAAAATGATTCGTTGTATGTATCATGTTTGATCCTCACGTATAGAATTTATATCAATGTAAAATGTAAATGTGCAAAAAACCTTTATCCTGAAAATTTCTTCCCAATTTGACTTGGCGCGCTTATTAGCACATTGAAACTTTATGGTTGTCGTTGATTAAAAAGGAAAAAAAAATCAAACCCGCAATTATTCCTAATAAAGAAATGGAAGAAAAAGTGCTCGGGCATCCCAAAAAGGAATGTGAGAAGAAACTTGTTAGATGGATGGAGAAATAAACCAATAAATAAGTACATAGTGAAATTTACTCACTGAGCATTCAACAGAAAAGACTAATATCAAGGTGTTAATAATAAACAAAAACATGCCTTGTATCAACCCCTGAAGAGCGGACACTATCATTTGCTGGGGCCACCTGGAAATAAGCAACTTCTGTACAAACTTGGAACCACCACAGACGATCAGCAGTATCACCTTCTGTTGCAGTATTCTTTAGATGTTCTTGATCGTATGTTGCAACACTAACACCGAAACCCTTAACAAAATTTTCCTTCACGTATGTGGCGTACGCTTTCTGCAAGGAGAAACACCCAATCGTCAATTAAATGTTGTATGAATTAGCTTATACATGTAAACCTTTATATGGAGTAATTTGTCATGATACAGATCACTAAATAGATTCCTAAGCAATAAAAAAAGACAAAATCGATATACGGAGAGGTAGTTCAGACATAGTCATCTTGAGATGTTAGAAACATGGCTCTGCACAATACAGTAATTCAAAGAAACAAATATGTCACACAAATTAGAGCTCACCACTAAATCTTCTCCACCCTTCTTTGATTCAATGAGAGGATCACAGAGTATATCTGGATTTCCATACTGAAACTGAAAATTGGCCATAGTTGTCCAGATAGTAGTTGCTTCTAAAGCTCAAATATTGCAGACAAAAAAAACATCAAAATAAGTTATTAATCACTCACCGCTGTAACTGCTGCATCGGCCAGAAAATAAAGAAAATCTCCATCAATTTTTAGCTGTATAGAAGTAAACTTCAAGTAAATTTCCAAAATATAGAAGAGAACAATGGGTAATGGGTTCCGTTAAGAAAGGTAAGAGAACCTATATATATGGGCAACTTTGGAAGATCAGAAAAATTACATTTATAACTCCTTAAACAAGAACAATTTTTTGGGATTTTAATTTTGTGGCTAAATGACAATTATTTTGGACGGGTAAAATAATTTATACCTCAGTAGCATCAAATAATGCTTTTGTTTCTTCATTATTAATTGCAAGACTTTTGTCCACGAGCTGAGTAATTTCTTGCAAAACACTCTTACATTCAGGACCTGCAGATTCTCCAATCTGTAGCAGGAAAATTCAGCATAACCATGTATTCCCTCCCAGGTCCTTATTCCAATGACAAATAAAGTTTATCATAAGCTTCATAAAAGAGCATGTTGTGGAAACTCAACTGATATCTGGTAATATAAACACATAACAAGAAAGTTGAATGGAATTTAACTCACTTTTCTTTAAGTTTTAGGCACGGGAAGAAATGATAGGGTAAACCATAAACAATGAGTCAATGGTTGCTTTTAGTTTATTTGTTTTTGCTTACTTTTTGCTTTTCACTAGTTCATATCACATCGCATATTTACGCATGCACTGATTTGAGCTACATCATTGCATCATATCATAAGCTTCAACACTTCATACAACGGCAAAGTGTGGAAAGTTAAAACTGAGCTGAAATGCGCTGATATAAGCAAAAACAAAGAAATAAGAGAATTTCGTAGCAAGAAAATACACAATTTTCATTAAATTATGTGGACGAAAAAAGTCAGACTAAACCCATATCAGAATATACAAGCTGATAATGAAATTCTTTTCACCTGATTATCAAATTCTGTGAAGTTGTAAATTGCACGAACTACTGCAGAACTTGCAATACTTCCACAAGTAAGATGAGGAAACTTCAACCGAAACCAGGCACTCAGGGCTCCAGGATATGAAATGCCAAAGACAAACCATGGACTATCAACATTAGATCTATTAAGCTTTGCATTCAAAGATTCCTACATCACAAAATAAGTGAAGTTACTATGTGGCCATTATAAATATGTTATGCATAAGGCTGAAAAAACAAAGAATGGAAGTAATTCTGTGATGTTTCTTCATTGGGGGAAACGTACTTACGTACTAACCACCATTATTTCATAGAATAAAACTCCGGTGAAAAAAGTCAGCAGCTCTACACAGAAGATACGTCAAATCTATTTTAGCATTGGTCACATTAAGATCCAAAAAATTGTGTTGTGTAGTAGTACTCTCTTGTAGTATCATGTTATGAGCTAGTTTAAGTTATTTCAGATCAGATCAGATCTGCTTGCATCATGTTACTCCATGAATGAAGGTTTTGCAAGGAGATTGTTCATGGGGCATGACGAAAACAAATAATGTGACAAAGTGTCAACATGTTAGCATTCAAACAATCATCCACATGCATCTAAAGTTTGAAAAATCTAAATCTATTCGAGATCTTAATGAATAGCATTGCAATGCTGCACATCTAGTTGAGTGCCTCAACAGAAGTACAAAATGCATGAAGTGTATTGGTGTCAAAAACACCTATTGGACCACTTCTCTTATCACTTTCCTCATTTTCTATGGCATTTTCATGTGATCTTGGGTGATTTATTGATCTAATATTGGTTAGTTTTATGTTAGGAAGGAAAGAGGATTCGTGTTTAACTAAGCACAGCAATATAGTGCACTTGGGAAGCACCGAAGCACTAGAGAAGCCTTTGAGGAATTCACTTTAAGCTAAGGATTAGGAAAAGCATAGGTCCTCATCTTGAAATTATGGGAACTAGGGAAGAAACCCTTGCTCATTTTATCTTTGTTTGAGCACTGAAGAGAGATTGCAATTAATCTACGTCCATGCCTTTTTCTAAGCATTTTAGAGCTCTAGTGATTTCCTTTAGCATTTTTATTTTGTCAAGTTATGAACAAACATCAAAATCATTTTTAGCATCACTTGCTAGAACCCTTTCATGCTTAGTTTAGCACTAGTTTGAATTAACTTTAGCATTTGCTTGCATTCGTCCAACATGTTTCTCATGATTTGGAATTCCCAACTAAAGACTCTGCCAGTTTTACAAACGACTTTAATCCTCTAAAATTTGACTAACAACAAGCTACAATAGTACAAGGTACCTGATAGTATTGACGGAAAGCAGCAAGGTCAAAAAGTGCCTGCTTTGATGAAAGATATTTCAGGTTTTCTGTTGTCAATGATTTAAATGGTGAGCTCTTTCCATAATACCGATGTTCAAGGGAAACAACAGCAGCTCCAAACTTCTTAGCCAGAACCTGTATGGCATGACATGAGTCAGAAATTAACCCTTACTACTGAAACTACAAATCATGATATAAAATAGGGAATAACATCTAACAGTACTGAACAGTTGAACAAATTAATCCACATGTGACTGGGATTAATCTACCTTTCCAAAGCCATGACTGAGATAGTTTTTATTCTATGAGATGCTTAAACCAGCTAATATTCATGTCCAGCAGGTGAGATTTAGTATGAGTACTAATTTTATTTAGATTAAGCAAACACATGACCTATCAGAGAATGAAAATTGCAGTCATTAGAATTCCAGTTAATGTGAGAAACAGTTCTTAATAAGAATGGCACTAAACACAAAATAGATGATGCATACGAGTTTATTCAGAAAACATAAATTCTCAAGCCAAGGGTCAAGAAGGTAAGTTGTGAAAACATACACTGATGTAGTCATTAGGTATCCCATTACATGCAGATTCCCCACATATTTTCAAGAAAATTGGTCCATCAGGAACACGAAAGTTGTCAAGAAACTCATAGTACCGTTGGCTGAACTTACGATGGTCCTGCAATCCATAAAAGTATCAGAAATCTTTACTTATAATTATCTTAGAATACATGCAAATACATTATGTCTGGTCTAATAGAATATAGTTAAATTCTGATCTATCAAACAACAACAACATCCAAGCCTTAATCCTAAAAGAGTTTGGTGTCGGCTAAATTGTGATCCTTAATATTCCTAAAAAATTAATTTATAAATAATGAAGGTACTTACTTGCATGAGAAATTAAATAATTGGTTTCATTTTTGGTCCTATGAGCACCATACTACTTCCACATTAGGTCCATGTTTTTTACCTTACCCACCAAATTTAAGCACCAGAAATTTATCAGGAAGACCAAAGGTGGACGCATAACACTAGTCATGTATCAAAAGTGAGCAAACTCAAAGACATGGACGTAATGTAAATTTGTACTACGTATAATACTCTTAGTTCCAAAAGTAGAAGTTATTCCCAATCAAATACACATTTTACCATAGCCTTCAGTAGTGACTCTACTATAGTACTATCACTCAGGTTAATTGCCCAGTATCAACAGTTAACAATGGTGCACAAACTATTCTACGGAGTAGTTTACAACCGACCTGACAATAATATACTCTAGAAACAGCAAAAAGACACACTTAATCAATCACTATGATTGACAAGCAAATCTAAAATGGTTTTGAGTGTCTCAATTATAAATGTATTCTCAAAACGTATGCAGAGTTGCAGACAACAAATCCAAACCCCAGTTTATTAAATATGACAAGCCTTCATAAGCATTTTATAACAAGTCATTTCTGCCTAACAGAGAATCTACGTTGATTGAAAGGTTTCTACTTTCTATAACCACTTCTGCAATCCTGCCCAGCACAATCCCAGAAAATTAAAGGTCCGGCCTTTATTACACATTATTCATAGTAGAACAAAGCTTCAATAATTCCTAAGAAGTGGAAACTTCAAACGATTTAAAATGATTATTATACGCCAACAATCTGTAACCAAAACCAAAACACAAGATCGATATGTACCCCAAATCCACTGAAATCATTTACCAGTTTATCAAACAATTGCGTGCACAGAGGGATAGAGGAAAAGCTATGAATAGCTATTACATACATAAGGAGAGAAGTGATCGAGAGTTTGATTGAACCAGAGTTCGTCCCTGGTCAGATACTTGCTGCTCTCCGAAGAGGAGCGCTGAAGATGACGAGATACAACGACGCCGTTTGTGATATCTAGAAACGACAGGAAGACGACATAGAAGAAACTGGGCATCAGCTTCATGCTGCTTTCGTCCAATCCACTTCTTACTGGGAAATAAAAAAGGAAACATCTCTAATTCAAAGAAATTAAGCTAGTTTACTCGTCAAAATTTACCAAGTATATATTCTTTTTATTAAAAAAAACACACTTCATCACATTTAAGACTTTTTTCACATAAATTTATTTTTCAATAGTGTAATTAAAATTATTATATGTATAGTGTCATACTGTCACGATTATTAAGCTGTAAATTTTTAAGATAAGTTACGTATCGTAATTATTATATTTGAGGTGTAAATTTAATGCAAACTAATAATTTAACCTTTTAGCGATCTTCTTTAGAGCATCTTCATTCATGATCTTTAATAATTAATTTTTTATATGATTCTTACCATTTAAATATTGTTATTTCATTAATTATAAAATAATCTCAAAATTCGTTTCTCTCTCTCAATCATCATCTTCAAATAATCTGTTTTTTCTTTGTCCTGCATTTATCTCTATTACATATACCTTTCAAATAATCTTAAAATAATCTGGATTCATACTTTGATCCCATATTATTGTAGCAAATAATCCTATTAAATAATCTATGTCACTCATTGATAATTCTCTAAAAAAACTGTCATGTCACTAATTTAATCTCGTAATAATCCTTCCAATGAGGATGCCCTTAGAATAGTCCCACATAATCGTAATTCAGAAATAATTCAACATTTGCACCAATTCGTTGGTCCCTCATCGGTTGATCTACTATTACAGGTTGTTTTTTGCAAAACATTAAACTATAAATCTCACCTTTCACAAATCTTCTCCAAGCGGTCCTACGTATCATATTTCATTCCCCCCGAAAACTTTTCTCTTTTTATTTTTATCGTCTTGATTCTTTTATTCCCCCTTTTCATCTTCTTATTCTTATTTTTAATTTCTTTTCTATGTTTATGTATTTCGTTTTCCTTCTTTTTCATCTTCTCGTTTATTATTTAATTTTCATTTATATATATATTTTTGGATTAGTTTCATTCTTATAAAAGATTCTTTTCTCACCATATTAACTTTCTACTTTATTTTCTTTGTGTACACTAATTTATTTCCTTTTTCCTTTTCTTACCTTGATTCTACCATTAATATATTATTGGGAAAATAGCCACAAAATATGACTAAACTAATCCCTAAATGCAAAAATAGGACTATGGTGTTTATCTTTCCAAAATAGGACTAAAGTACACTCTATCTTCTTATTCTATCTTTACCATAACTTAATAGGATAATCATATTTTACATTATAATAAAAATGAAAAATAATAAAAAGCATTTCAATTTATAAAAATATAGTAAAAAATATAAAAATTTAAAAGCATTTTAAAAAAATACTCCCTCTGTCCCCCAATTAAGTTCCCGGTTTGACTTCACACATATGAAGAAAATAAATTTGACTTTACTGTGGAGTGCACTGTTTTGCTCGGTTCAAACACTGTTCGAACATTGTTTGACACTGTTTGTCACTGTTTTGCACTGTTTGACACTGTTTTGATGTAGATAATTTGCCAAATGAGGAAAGTAAGGCAGTGTGAACTTAACTTATGGACCGTCCAAAAAGGAATGTGGTAACTTAATTGCGGGACGGAGGCCTTTCCTGTAGCCTCAGCCACATCCTAGTAATGCCAACTCCGATCAGCGAAAAAATACCATTTGTGTAAACACTGCAATTTTTCTCTAAAAATGCTATGAATATGACATTTTTACTCTTTGAAAAATGTCAAAATTTTCTCAAAAACTTCCACCAAGATGGCATTACTGACATATGTTGGCATTTGTTTTCCGGTGGTCGCAGCGGTGACACTGGGAGGTTATTGAAGTTGCAGCAGAGGCCTGCAGTTTTTTTTTTACTTTTTTATTTTTTTATTTTAAGCTTTTGAGTTTTTAATTTTATAATTTTTATGTTTCTAATGTTTTCGTTTTATTATTTTTAATAAATATTTATTTCTATGTTTTTTATTTATCTTTATTTTTATTATAAACTAGTATTCCACCTGTGCGATGCACGGGTGCACATTTTATCCATATATTAAACATGATAAGTCATTTACAAAAGTATACAAAAAAAACTATAACTACAAATATGAGTGCGGTAAAAGTAATGTATACTAAAGAGTAATTAAAAGGGTACTAAAAAGAACTCTACAAACATTGAAACAATTGTGAGTAAAAGTTCATTGTGACCCGAGATAAATAATGCAATTTTAAAAATACATAAGTACTCCACTCGTCTCTTAAAAATTTGCTAAGTTGAGCGGCCCAGATGATGGTAGATTAAAAATTGTGTGATTAATGTTTGTATACATGAGAGGAAAATAAAAAGAATCACAAATTAGTTGATCAAGGTGAAAAGTAACAAAGTTTTTAAACAACACCAAAAAAAGAAAAAAGTTTTAAGAGATAGAAGAAGTATGTATTAAATATTGTGTGCATACATAATGCTATTTTCAAAGGAATGTCGGGATTTGCCATTTTTTATTTCACCAAAATCCCTACATTGATAAATCTTCACATGGTTCTCGAGAGCTATTTCATTAAATTTGAAGAATGAAAAATAGTTTCCAATTTTTTTAAGTCTACACAATTATTATACTCGGTATTTTATCTTAAAAAGAATTTAAGAGACAGCTCTTGGTAAATTTGGAAATCCTATACTCCGTACTACAAAAATTTACAATATCTTAAAAAAATTACGTAGTACTTCGTACTACGTATTTATTATTTATAAAAAAGAGACAAGAGTTCATTTAAGAAAGAACCCAGTGTTTTCAAAAAAAAAAAAGGAAGAGTCCCGTCCAACCTCATACTCTAGCTACACCAGCCTAATCATTTATTTTGCGATGAGCAAATCCAACCCATTCTATTAACGTATTTCTCCCGAGGGTTTCAAAGATGAAATCGATTCATCTTCATCTTCAAAACATCGATTCAGCTTCACTCGTCTTTCAACTCGATTTTAGATGAGTTACTGGGAGGCCCAACTTCTCTCTTCCCTTTGATCTCTTTGCATCGACGATCTGTATTTTCCTTCAGATTTTTAGGTAGTAGAAGAAGGATTTGTCATGAATTCGAGTTCTCTCACCCCTTTTAGTGGTCACCATAGTTTCGTTAAAATTTGCAGATGTTCTCATCTGACGTTAATCAGGTGCTCGCGGTAGTCATCCGAGATATGGAAAAGTAGAATGATTTTCCGTAGGTGATGTTTTCTTTATTTATTATTTAATTGATTATAATTGGAAATATATACATGTATTTCTTAAATGTTTAATCAGGCTTATCTGTGCATATATGCTTCCAAGATTATTCAATTTGTGACCATAAAAAAAGGTTCTTCAGTTTGTGCTAAAATGCCTTTTTAAGAAACCAACGTTGTACTATATTGCAAGAAAATGTTATGACTTTTTAATACCTACTGGAGCAATATTTGGTACCGGTAAATCCGGCCTCGAAATGATATTTCTTCTATTTTAGACCGGAAATATTCTAGAAAATTTTGTGGACGTGAAACCAGCTTTTTATTACAACAAATAATACAAAAATAGTACCACATATTATATTTTTCGAACTTGAAATGCGTTGCTTCATAATTTTTCTGCTTAAAAACTCATTGGACTAAAATAATGTTTGTGCATTATTCTTAAGTTTCATGCTCTAGAATTACGCATTGAATAAAAGTACTGCAAACTGGAGCAAGGTTTAGTAAGCTATCTTTTACTTGATGAATAACCAAGTAAATCATACACGATATATTCTGCATTGTTTAGTTTCTTATATGGAGTTAAAAAAACCCTTAGGAAATACTCTGTATGTAGTAGCATACTATCATATAAAAGTCCCCAAATCTCACATTTTAAGATATACGTAATTTTCTTCATTTTTATGAAGTTGTCCAATTTGCTTTGACATACTGGTATATTATAAATTATTCATGAAGGGAAAAGTATAGCAAGTATAATTGTTGATGACATTGTTATTGTTTTAAACAAAATTCAATACTATGTAATAACAAAAGAAGTCTGTTTATGTTAATGTTAACTTGGATAAATAGCCAAGTAAATTATACTCGGTATATTCTTTTCATTGTTTTGTTTACATTTAATATTAAACATATGATACCAAATAACATTCTCATATGCCCAAAATGCAGATTTACAATACTTTGTTGTTTACAATCATGTTGAAATACCTTTCTCAAAGAGAAACTTCAAGAAGACTTGATTTCTATCTCTTTAGGTAGGCGTCTAGACTTTTGTATTTATACCCACACAATTTTCAGCTAATTTATTGATATTACAATGCTACACCTGCGTATGGCTACATTGAGAAACCTAATCGGCAGAGAACAACACCCAAAAATTATTTATTGCAGGTTCTTCACTTCGAGTCCCAAACTTTGACAATTTGGTTCTAAACCATATCGGCAGGATTTCTAGTCTCCTAATCAAATCAAAATACCCGTTAGAAAATTTTCAAAGTAAAAATAAGAACAAAGTTGAAGAATCATACCTCTTCATTTGCTTGTACATCGCATAGAACATTGAGTTGTTGCTTTGTTTTGATTAATATCCTCTACCACTTCCCATTTGTAGTTTTGTTAAGGAGAAAGTATTGTGTATTTTGATCGATTTGGAGTGTACTGACTGAATGCACACCTTGCAATATTTATATACATGATATTACCCTACACGCATTGCTGGAAGGCCACACCATGCGGCAGCCATACATTAATATTGTCATTTTCCAATGCATTTGGAAAATGTACTAGCCTTATCTTGTAATTAATACATTTTGTCAGATGTCTCCTTCAATATTATCTCGTAACATGAAGTGGGTGCATTTATTTTTACATTGTTTGTATCTAATCAATTATGTTAGGAGTTTCCAATTCTATATTAGTAGCTACTATTGTGATATTTGTCTTGACGATTCTGGAACCATCTATGTTTGGGCGGGAACTTCCTCAAGAAGTTTTCTTTTGCTATTATATTATAATAGATAAAATTATGTTATTACTTTTTTGTTAT